TTGCAGCTCATAGGAGCAATTATTTTACCCCCTTTCATAACTATTCTCAAAAGATCAGTGCAGCCACTTTCAGAAGCCACTTTCTGTTGTGTTTTAGCCACAATCTCTTTCTTTTGTGTTCCTCCAGACTAGAAAACATTCTGCCTTTTTCCAGCTGAGTGCCTCAAGTTGGATGAGCTGACGTGGCTGCTTTAAACTAAGATTTCAAATTACTCTAATGGGCATTGAAGGTCTTGGCCTGAAGAAGCCAACAGAAATGCCAGGTGTCAAGAATGTGGCCACCTATGAGTGGTTAAACACAGGTTGAATGGCGATTCTGCTATCTCATACTTAGCCCCTCCCCCTACAATGCCTTCTGGAAAACAGTTGTACGTGCACATTTTAGAGGTGCTGATCTTCAAGGCTTCACTGAGCGGTGCACGAAAAACTGTCATGCTACCATTACTAATACAGTCGCATGGGCTCAGAAATCCCTTGGAAAACCATTTTCACTCAACACAGTCCCATGCGGCTTCCAGAAATGTAACCTGAAACAGTATTACACAAGGACGAAGCCATATATTCGCTCTGCACAAAAGCATAGCCGAATTCAGTCTGCAGGCAAGCTAGTCTCAGATGGACTGGCAGACAGAGGACACGTGTTCTGTGGTCAAACGAGTCCAGCGTCTGTTTCTCTGTGCTAAATGGGACAAATAGGCAGGAGCAACAGTCAAACGTCAAGAGTTGTATTTGCTACTTGAAGCGTTTGCTGCCTGTGCTAAACAGAATAGATAAGGGAGTGATCAGAATAAGAAAATAAACAAAAAAGGTTACAGGTTATTTCAAAGTTACATCTGAAGAAAAAATGACAAAACATTAACAGAAATGCATGTGCATCAGGAGATTGGTGAGAGAGAGTCAAAGGAAGAGTCTGTGTTTGTTGTTGTCCATGAAGTGCTGTGGTTGAGAATTCAAAATGCTCGTGCTTCTGTATGAAAAAGTCACCATGATTGATGATTGGAAGGCAAATCTTTTTCAATGGCCTGGATGACTTGGATAAGTGTTAAATCCCCATCGGCTGAAATCTCTGTCTCACTGTCAGTAGTTATTGTGGTTTGTTGTTGAGAGCAACTTCCTGCTGACCTGTTTGGACAACAAAGCGCTCCCGAGCAGCTTTGCCCCTGTGTATGTGAAGTGTTCCAGTTCTGGTCTGTGTGCCGTGACTCCTGACCCTGCTGTAGACGGGGTTTCCCCTCAAAAAGCTTCTATGAAGCAGCTCATAGCTCTTATGTAAATCCAGTCCCTCTCCTCTCAGAGCTCTTGGCAGTGCCAATCCGCTTTGGTTAGTCTGGCTTTCCCTGCAGGGCGTAATGATAGGCTGCAAACCACACTGACACCCCGAACAGACCACTGCAGGCTGTGTGTGTGTGTGTGTGTGTGTGTGTGTGAGAGAGAGAGAGCACTCAATCTCTATAGGGTATGCCTAATACATGTTGCAGTCTGGAACGCTCCACCGGCGGCCTTAATCTGTCTGAATCAGGAGTTGTGGACTTGAGGGAACACACCCTGACACACTGGTTGGTGCACACAAAGTTTCTGGCGCCCCTGTCATCAATGCTTGGCACCGCTCTCCCCACTGAGGGCACATAAACGCACAGCAGACACACAGACGAGCCCCTGACACAGAACGGTGCGCATGTGTGTGTGGGAGTTAAACGCCACGTGCTGCTCTTTTCCATGCCATGCTGCCACTTTGGAAAAATGAGGAATTCCATCGTTTCCCTTCCCTCATTGTGAGTGCCTGTGCGTTTATGAGCGATTGTGTGTGTCTGTGAGTCTGTGGGAAGTAGGAGAAAGGGGATTCCACACAAAGTCATTGCCATAAGAGCACTTTTGTTGTACATTTACGCCTGAACGCACACAAAGGGAAAAAAAGAAGTGCATGCGTCACCAGCGGGTTTTAGCCACAAGTGTTCCGCGGAGGGTTGAAGGTTGCAGGGTGGGGACAAATTGCAATGAAACGTATGTTTGTGTGTGCACAGGGAAAGCTGGGATGATCTGCCCCCTTCATGATCCTTACACACACACACACAAACACATACACACAGAGGGACCAAAAGGACATACTTTTTGGCCTGTAAAAAACAAAAATTAGTCATCTCTGTGGTGAGTGTTGCCAATGTGAGCAGAGTTTTAGAAAACCTGATGCATGAGACAGCTTCACACTTGATAAGATCTCATAACAAGAGTTTCATCTGAAAACGCTGGCCAGCACCCCAAAGACCACATCACATGAATCAATATGACTCCCATCCAAACCTCAACATTTCAAAACAAAGATATATATTTTACCCGCAACACAGAACGACATTGTAAGACCTCAGGATGACTCATGGCTCTGTAATAGTAAGACTTTAACGGCCTTTGCTTTAAAGCCAACAGTAAGTCAGAGTTTTTTTTCTACTTTTATTTAATGTTTAATTTCGGGATGAAACCTTAAAGTGTTTTGTGAATTAGGTATAAGGAAAAGTGTTGAAAAGCTACTCAGAATGGGTTATTTTAATGTGTGATAACATTTCGTCAGTGTTTGTTCGTCTGTGCTGAGTGTGGCGAAATTTAATTCTGTTTAATTTTCTTTTACTTTTAATGCCAACACTAGATGTTACAATGGGTAAGTTTGCAAGCATGTTGTCTCGACAGAAATCCCAATCACAATTATTCAAGGTTACATAGAGACATGATGCTGAACAGAACGTACTGAATATTATAAGCCATATGATGTAAATTTGGTAAATCACATTATACATGGACTTAAGACACCAAACACAGGTTTAGGAAACTGTCTTTAAACACCATCTCAGTAGGAATAGACCGTCATGCGACATCTGCTTACTGTTTTTTTTTTTCTTGCCCGTTAACAACGCCAGAAAAAAAAAATACACAGACCACTTAACCATGAAGTGATTGGTCTGCAAGTGTTTGTATGTAAAAGATCGCTGGTTTTTAGACTTGGCTCTCATGTTGATAGAAACTGTGAGGAATCTTTTTTGCTTCCCTGTTACTTGAGATTTCTTTACTCTTCTTATAAGCTCTTACGCACAGAAGATCTGGGGTAGGGTTAGCTCCATTGTGGTACTACATGTTACAAAATGTAATGTGGTAAGGTTAAGTATTACACATTATGATCCATCCTAATTTCTCTCTGTAGGTTAACCCAGATGGGAATAAGAAATACCAGGCAGTCACTTAGCAATTTAAGGGTGTTTTTTGGGTTTAATTTAAAAGCTCTTTATTGGATATATATTATATTAAATATATTGGACCAGTGTCAAACATTTGTGTCTATATTTATAATCTAGACCCCAAAAGAGCCGGAAACACTGCCCAGTAAAGTTTCAGACTTTTCCTTTAAACCTGGGGAAAATACCTGTCTGATTTCGGGAGACCACAATCCTAACCAAAGGCTAGACATTTAGTCTGTCAATCAACCATACCAGAAATCATATGTCTAATGTAAATTTAACATTTCAGTCAAGCAGAGCAAAAAAAATATTGTAAGGGTTAGAAAAATACTCATTGCAAACTATTTTCATACCTCATCTGAACAATGCTCAGGAGCTTAATAAAGAGGGCAGTTATTTGATCATTGGGATAAATGAGCAAAATCTCTGACAGCTTCTCTTATATACTGGTCATTTATTTGCATTTTGTAAAGACAAAGTCTGCTAACTTTTTTGCCTCCCACCAAATTGCCTATAAGTTGGTAAGCAGGGTATGGGAGCTTGATCTTGAAATTAAACTATATGGAATTTATTTCAAAGTAGCAAATAGAACTTTTGTAGCTTCAAAATGACAGCACAACTGTATCTTTGTTTAATTTTAAATGGGATCAGACTTAGTCAGGATTGCATAATGATGAGTGTTGGGCTGAAAACCCTGAAAAGTTTACGACTTGGACAGGATTTGAGGCTTAAAAGCCAAGACTTCAGACTTGATTGTCACTTTTATAGAAAATGACTTCTTATTCCCTGAGTCACAGAAGTCACATCATATGACCCAAGCAGGTCTAACATGCACTTTAGGGAGCTCGTAATCTCTCTTAAGAGTTAACCATCACCGATGTTGACCACACACGTTGCTCTCAGGAATCAGAAATATACACAAACAAAACAGCTACCTTTGAATGTAGCTGATATGCTTTCTAAAAATACTTTACGGGCAAATGTATGTCATCTTCCCTGGTCTGAACAGGATAGAAAAAATAAAAAAAGTAGTTCATTGGTGCTTGGTAGTGATACAGGTGATGGAAAATAAAAAGCTTACAGCAGAATGATTTATTTCTTCATGGATACACATGTAGATTGAAACTTATAGATTCATTATTAAAATGGCACACTTCCTCTCATGTACATAGGGGTTTTGCCCACTTTGTACCTCTTCCCACTGCAGTATTGCCCATTTCCATTGCCTCAAAACGCCCATATACCATGACCTTAATGCCATGGAGCCACTAGAGACGATTTTTACTTGTGTTGACGTGAGTTGGCCAACTTGTTCTTGCTATGCGATCATTGGAAAAATCATGAAAAGCGGGTTGTTTCTGACCCCAGCACTGCACTCTACAGACAAACAGAACTCAGCACAGGGCGTTTAATGAGATTGAAAGGTCAAAGGTTGTTAAAGGAGTTCGGCTGTCAGGCAAAGTCCGACTCATTAGTGATCCAGCCTCCGTTTCAACACTGTTTCAATCCCTCCTTGTCACAGGACGGAAGATGCAATTTAGGAGCGGAGAAAATTTTGAAAATATAATTTGCAACCTGTCATGAAGCTGGACAGTTAAAAGGAAATGTCCAATTTAATGCAAATACTTACACAAGAACTGTTGGTGTTAAACAGGGAAATATATAGTTTAGATTAATTCACCTTTGGGTGAGCAAAGTTCTCTTACAGGACACGCTGTAGAGACATAAAAGTGATGGAAATCTTTGTACTGGCCTTCATCTCCAAATACGTGATTACAGGGAGAAGAATCCATAGACTGGTGGAGTAAGTTCTACGCATCCACTGGAGAGAATAATAAGTGTGGGACCTATCTGGAAAGAGGCTTCGATACTCTGAAGGTAAGTGGTTTATCAAGAATGTACCAAAATAAAAAATCATGTTAAAGATTTTGTGTACAATGTATGAATTGGTCATAAAGGCAAATTTGGAGACCAGCTGAAAATAATGACACCACCAGCCCACAAAATGTCTGAGCTTTCCATGAATGGTGCAACATACTGTTTATGGACATAATGGCCAAGAAACACGAGATACTGAAACCCCAGTTGCCTGCAATGCAGTGTCAAATTGGGCATGTTGTTCTGTCTCCTGGTTGTGTTGGCCCCAAGCCTGAATAAAGGCCAGGGTTGTGTTAGGAAGGTGACAGCAACTAAACTCTTCTTGTAGCTAGAGGTTGAGTGTGAGATAACATTCAAATGTATAATTCCATACCACTGTCCTCCTCATCCACCATGAAATTTATACAAAAAAATGTAAAATGCTCACCAGATCGAGTGCAGCAACATGCCAACCATGCCACAATTAGACATGAAATGTGTCAAAAATAGTTGCAAAGAATCAAGATTAGTATTAGTATTAGTTTGTGTTCATGACAAAAGAGCGCCCCAATCGTTGCGCACTGGAACTGTGAAAGAATGCGTCATAGCCAGCAGCGTGGTCAACCGCACCTCATCACTGTGGTGAGAGCTTCTGTCACCTCTCCAAAGTCGCTTTGAAAAGTTTCCTAAATGGCTCAAAAGTTAGGACCTCTTTCCACCATTTTTTATGCTTAATTAGGAGCTCTGAGCATTTTCTCAGGATGTTTATGAGGACGGCTTCTGATTGCTCGATGCTAATTATGCTCTCAGAACTGAAAGGGAGGTTTCTTTCTCGGGACGTAACATTTTCCAGTCATTACTTTTGCAATTTGTGCTGTTAATGGCACAAAAACACTATCGTGTTCATTTGAGTCACTGTCGCTTGCATTCATTACATTTATCCTTTTTTTCATATATCTATTTCTTTACTTACGGGGCACTTCTCACAATGACTCTTAGAAATCCATTATAAGATAAATAATCCCACTACTACCACGTTTGAACAGGCATGTCTGCAGATGCCTTGTAAGGCCTAAAATGATGTTTGTGCTCACATAAAAAAAGAGAGGAGAATGAAGAGGTAAAACGGCAGGAAAAACGAGAACATTATCACAGAGGAGATTAAAACAATACAGGTCTTTGTTCCAGTGCCCAAACTACACCATTTAAATCACATTTCTGCCTCTGCTGCCAGTTCCCTCTGTCAGTCTGTCCCTCCATCCTCCCCCGCCTCCTCTTCTCAAGCTCCATCCTCAGAGCCTGGCGCCGTGACATTCCGTCTGTTCTCTAAACTCCTCCGATGACTCACTCAGGGTGAATTTGTCTTTTTGATCGCTGCACTGGGACGAATTCAGGGAAAAGGCCACTCAGTGATGTCAGCGATGTCCGAAAGAAGCAATCGCATCAGTCGTCATTGCCGTCTGTCTTAAGTCTCGGCCTTTCAGGCTCTGCCACTCTCCCAGGAGCCTCCTCTCCCCTGCCGTCACCCACGCTCTGATCAACCCTAATCCCAGTTCTCTTGGTCCAAACAATGACCTTTTCTTCCACTGAGACTCAAAAGTATACGTCAGTCTTCTTTTTTGAGGGCCCAAACAAATAAGTGTTCGAGCCAGAATGTGGCCTTGTTATGACTCAAAAGTCAGACCCCTCACCTTTCCCTTGCAAACCATTTCACATCAGCACAGCTGCTTGAACACTGCCTGTTCTATTCTTTGTCCTTTAAATCCCAATTAGAGAGCTTTTGAGCTTAATAGCAACGTCCCCGTTACTTGATTGGTATGAAAAGCTTAAAAATAGCATGAAACGTGCCAAAGAAGAGATCATTCAGTATAAACCTGTAACCTCTTGGAATGTTCTTTAAACACCATGACGTAAATGGTCCACTGTAAAAGGCCATTTCTTTGTCTTTTCCCTCAGATGAAAACACTGAAACATGAATAAAGTTAAATGGCACAACAGAGAACAATAACCGCTTCCCCCTTCAAAGGCTCTTTCCAGTTTTGTGGTGGGTGTATATTTTTCATTCAGGAAGCTTATTAAACTGTTTCACTCTGGCTGATGGAAATGTCTTCAAGTCGCCTCCGAGTCTTTGCAGCTTGTCAAAACGTTTTCGCCAAATTCACTTGACGTTTGGAAGGGAAGTGGCGGAATGACCACTGAGCTGCTGAGCTTGCCTCACTTTCAGCCTCTTCCCACTCCTGCGCCTTCACTGTGAAACCACCTTTCTGTTTATTCCCATGTGCACTGATGTTCCTCTCATTTGTTCAACAACCCTTTTGCTCTGATCTGCATCTGTCACAGGGAAATGACCCATTATTTCCAGCCTTTCCAGCATCCTTTACCCTCCTTTAAGCCTACGCTGCCACCTTATTGCTCTTCATTTGCCTTCCTGTTCGGATCCATTCTGCCCTTTTGACTGTCTTTGGGCTTGTACTGTTAGTAGAGACACTGTTTCCAGTCAAGCCCTGACTGAGGAAACCTTGCCATCTTAATAAGCTCACCTTTTCTTTTGGCTCTGTTGTTGTCTCCCTTCTGGTCACCTTTTTGTTTCCTTTCCATTCGTCCAACTCTGGAAAATTTTCCTTTCAATGACCAATACAGCTCTCTTGTCTCGATCAGTACAAAGCTCTCTGTTTTTCAACCTCAGATGAAAAACAGAACATGACATAATACATTATTTGATTACTTATAAAACCAAAACCAAGCCAAAGGCAAAAACAATCTGAGGAAATGTATTTCCTAATAATTTGTGGAGCCACCTTTAAGTAGCAATAACTTGAAGTAATCGTTTTCTGTGTGATGTTATCATTCTCCCACATCACTGTGGAGAAGTTTTTATCCAGGTTCTTTCTAGTGCTCCTTTTTGACAGCGTGGTTTGCTGCATTTACTAATGCACAACTTACTTAGGGCCTTAAATTGAGGTCTAGACTTTAACTGGGCCATTTTGGGTCAATATTTTGTTTTAATCTAAGCTTTTTATGCTTTGATAAACCTCATGTGGAAACTGCTCCCTGAAACCAGCCGCAACGCAGTTAGAATGCGTGCTTCCCTCACTAAGTTGAAGACATGAGAGATATATGATATCTACTATTGGTCAAACATCACATGGAAATAAGGTAGTTGGCTTCTTTTGTGCTGGCATGTATCAAACACATGACCAGCTTTGCTTTATTCTCCCCTTTCCCTTGGTGCTGGGTTTGGTTTTTTAAGTATTGAAATAAAGCGCCTGCTGACATCATCCCCATCATCACTCTGTTTTCTCCTGCCCCCACCCCCCCAGCCTTCTGTCCTTGCCCTGCTTTTCCATCTCTTTCTCCCTTCTCCACCCACATTTTAGACAATAATAACATGACAAACCATCTACACCCCCTACCTACTTTCTCCTCATTTGACGCACTTATTTCCCAACAAGCCTTTGAGCTTCACTCTCTATTTAATCTAAACGTTACATGAGACACAAAGCATGTCCCTGCTCTCATTACATTTCTCTTCCCCCTCTCAAGCTCATTTTAATTAAATGCACAGCATTATTTGTGGTATGTTTTTTATAGAACGAAACCAAAAGACAAGGGCTTATTTTGACCTCACAGATGTTTGAAACACTGGAATTGTGGCTGCAGATTATGGTTGATTTTAGAAATTCATAGAAAATGCTTGTTTTCCATAGGAACCAATGCATCAAATTCTCAAATGAAGATAGCATTGCTTTGAATAAAACTAAAATGTAATTAATCTGTGTGCTATTTGGATGTCTTTTTCCAGTTGTACACATGCAATCACTTATTTTGGGGAATTTTTCATAAAATATATTTCTTATAATATTCATTTGCACAGTAGGAACTTGACCTTTAACTCAATTTTCAAGTTTCAAGGTATTGTTAAAAGTTGAACTGGATGCCAATATTTACGATAGCTACCTGTAACTGTAAAATTTGAATTGCCATGTACTCTTTTCCAACAAGGGTTCAGATACTCTATTTTTATTACAGAAAGCCATTGCCATGGAAACACATTTAATAACAGTTTTCTGACAGGACCCTGTATCAAATCTTTTAACTAGCCCAGTGTGTGAATAATAGGCAGTGAGAACAGGTTGTTGGAAAGCAAGATGGAGTAAGTAAAGTCAAGAGTTCTACAGAGTACATGCCATCCCCATTTTGGATGATCCTTGAAGATTAGATACAGTTTCTGAACCAAAACACGGGACTTTAAAGACAACTTGAAAGTTTCCATCTCTTAGTTGTAGAATAGTCTCAGTCTGATGCTGACACATTGGTTTTGCCTCTTGATTGTCATTTTTTTGGGAAAGGAACAGAATGCGTGTGTGTGTTCTTGTTTTGGCGGCAGATCCAGACTCGTGTGCTCAGATTTGTGTTAGACTGACGTAAATAAATATCACTAATGAAAACAAATTAACAATCTTGTAGTTTTGACACATAGGCGTCCCTGCCCACATCTGCTGCTTCCACACCGTGGACCAGAAGACAGATGATATTTCATACCAGCACACGCGCACTTTTAATGTATTTGGCCATTTGGCTTGTCTTTAAATCCAACAAAAGTGGAATTACTCTGCCTAATACTCATCTGTGACACCATATAAAACAGTGTGTCTGTGTTTTATTGGGATATAAAAGAGGATTTAAACAAAAACAGTCACTAACAATACAAAGTTATTGCAAATTCTCTCCCCTCTTCTTCAGGTGTACGACCGTGAGTTAGAAAAGATTGAGGAGTTTGGGGGTCTCTCTGATTTCTGTCAAACATTTAAACTGTTCAGAGGAAAGACTCGGGATGAAGGAGATGACCCGTCAGTGGTGGGAGAGTTCAAGGTAAAATAGTTTTCTTTGGTCCTGCTTAACTCATTGCTTTCTTTGCGTCATGTCTTTGACCCCTCAAACCTTTTCTTCTGTGTTAATTAGGGCATGTTCAAGATCTATCCACTGCCAGATGACCCATCAGCCTCTGCTCCCCCCAGACAGTTCAGAAAGCTTCCTCCCAACGGGGTTGAGGAGTGTCTGGTCAGGGTCTACATAGTCCAGGCTCAAGCACTGCAGCCGAAAGATACCAATGGAAAGGTAGGAAGTGAGATGGGGATTGACAGAAGTATCTGATATCTGAAAGAATCCGATGATCATTTTCACCATAGTTAAATGGACGACAGTCATGAGGATACTATGTGCTAAAATGAGTTTGATATTCTAAGTTTTAGTTGTTGCAAAGTCTGTGGTAACCAGCAATACATTAAAAAGATGATCGAGAAACATATCCTTATGAAGATTTTTTTTTGTGAAATGAAAAAGTCAAATAAAGGGAGCTAGAGAACAAATAACTTGGTAGAAACTTGTGTCCATTCTTTTCAGTGTGACCCTTATGTAAAGATCACTTTGGGGAAAAAGACCATCAGTGACCATGACAACTACATCCCCTCTACCCTGGAACCCGTTTTTGGAAAGTATGTATGCTAATATCCCTTGTTTCTGTTTCTCTGTGTGTTTCTGAAACTTCCCCATTTTGGCTGACTTACAGGCAATATGAGCAATCAAAGCTCATCCAGTGTGTCCGAGAGTGTGATAATGTTTTAATAGTATGCATTTAGAACATTTATTATGTCAGCAACCCAGAAAAGCCCTTTAATAACAAATGAAGAGCACACTGAAAGGCAGTGTTGGGATGACTCAACATATAGACCAGGAAGATCTAAGACTGACCCAGAAACCTTAAGACTCAACACTAAAAGCAACTATCAAAGCGTTCTAATTGTACTACAGCTGAAATGTAATATTTTAAAAGAATATCTCTGCTGAAGTGGTTTTTGTCTAGACTTAGTCTGGACCTTCTCCTGAACTGTTCAGAGAACCGATGAGTTCTCACTCCTATTCAAGGTGTTAAATGGTGGGTGGATTTGCTCTCTCCAGAGTCAGTGATCTCATTGTCTTTAATGTAATAATCACAGGATATTGTATTCACACCAGTAGGGGTCACTGCACACAAACCAATCACAGCACAGGGCACAGCGGCTCTGAGAATGCTGCAGTTGATGTTGAAATTCTGTTGATGTTGACTTGAGTTGTGATCATAATTCTTGTATATGAAATTAGAGGACAATAGCATATGCTAGTTATCATAGTGAAAAAAGAGCCAAACATATAAAGGTCACATCATGATACTCACAATATTATTTAATCAGATCAGAACAACTCACTAATTTATCTGCATGGAATCTAACAGAGTTTAATTTCCTCGCTTTTCTTTGACTTTCCCGACATATGACAGCAGACTGTTCCATCACAGCCTGTCATGTCACATAATATCATTAAGACACTTCCAGACGAGAAGAAGCCTCATTTACAGCTTTGAACGTTTTCCTTTCAGGATGTTCGAGTTAACCTGCTCCCTCCCACTGGAGAAGGACCTTCGGGTGATGCTGTATGACCACGACATGCTAACCAAAGATGACAAGATTGGAGAGACAGTGATTGATCTAGAGAACCGCTTCCTTTCTAAACATGGGGCCATGTGTGGCCTGCCTCAGTCCTACTATGTGTGAGTTGGCCCGGCCTCCTGAGTCGCTGTGTCGCATGTCGGTTGAGGTCAATTGAAACGTGTCGGTTTTGTCATCACTTCTTTCTCTCGTGTCTTGTATTAGATCAGGGATAAACCAGTGGCGGGACCAGCTGACACCCAGGCAGCTGCTGTGCAGACTGTGTGACCGTCGAAACCTGCGGAAACCCGTGTTCGAAGACAGAGCAGTTCTATTCAGAGGACAGAGGTACACGGCTGCAGACCTGGGTGAGTAACAAAAACCCCCAAATGAACAAAAGAGTGAAACAGAGTGGATGTAAAGTGGAATTTGAAAGGAAAAGGACTGCGTATGAATAGTTGTGGGATGGATTGAAATGGATTGATGAGGACGAGATGGAAGATTGGATAGGTGTGGGAGATTTTGGGCTAAGCAAAAGAGAAGGCGGGCTTAAGAGAGTGAGACAAAGCCCAAAAAGAATGTACCAGTTATAGAATGGTTTGCCAGATGATTAAAATAGTGGCTGAGAGGCGCTTATGCTCCTGGACAAAAGCAAGTTTACTTATTCGTGTAATTAGTTCCTATTAATATTTAGCTTCCCTTGAAAGTTCAACTTGTAACAAGGTTTATAAATGCTGTGTCTAAAAGTCTTAAATACATGTTTCATTGATTTATTTTTGTTTGTACCATTAATTTTATTGATAGTCTTGTCAAATAAGCTCTGATTAAGAAAAAATAATAAAACACAATCAATCCATGACCCATCCAACATCCCATGGCCACAGATCTTGTTTGTAAGATGACATCTTGTCTGACCACCACTATGCCACTCTGTGTCTGATGGTTTTGGTGATGGTACTGGAGACATTATTCAACATTCTTTATTCTGGGTTACTACATTAAATTGTTTGCATATTGCAAACAATTGAGCATTCCAAAGCCCATGTAACAGCCAGCATTAGATGCCAAATCTAGATATTCTAAAGAGGAGACATTTAAGAGTAGCAGTAGTGGTAGTAGTGTAGTAAAACGGATATCGGAGAGGGGGAAATGCACACCATTTCAGCTTTTGCTTTTCACAGAGAATGTGAGATCATAAGCTAATAATGACCGATATTTTTTATGCCCTGGTTTTATGGGCAGCCACCACGGTCAAGACTGTTGTCTCAGAAGTGCTTTATAAATGAAGAGGTTTGGAACGATAGTAAAGTGAACACCTTTTGAGCCCTGCTTGGACACAGTAGGATTATAAAAGATCAACTACACGTTGAACAAAGACATAACCATAGGAAAATTCCACCTCTGATGCCTCTCCACCCAGCGCCCAGCCATCAGATTAGTTTCTGGAAAGTTTGGAGGTCAGCAGCTGAGCGCGTCAGGCTTTGTTGTGCTGCTTGAGCCTTTCCAAAGCAAAATTTGTGGGACCTGCTGCTCTCCTGTTGGGGGGGGAAATTGCTACTGTGTGGGGAGAACCAAAAGGGATGATGACTGATATATAGAAAAGTAGATGGAAAATTTCAAAGTGACAAGATGACACTATGATGCAGTTTTCCTGCAGAAAATGGTATTTAAACCAGCAGGGCAGCGTTACTCACTTTAACTGTCAGTGTTTTTAATTATATGACTGACTGGTGTGTGTTGTTTTTATTAAATAAATCTTAATATGTATAATTCTGGATAGATATCTATGCTCTTGAGTCACAGACAATTGATCCAGCTTCTATACCATAAGAAAGAGCCAGTTTAATAAAAACTAAACATGCACAGATTTATTTCATTGACATGTTTGAGTGTGCGGTGCTTCTTAACATAACTTCACAGCAAATAAATCACTCCACACTGTACTCCCTCTCCACCCATATCTCTCCTATATTTCTGCTTTTATTTCCCTTTTTCTTCCCTCAAATCGGTCTCATCCCTCTCTCTCTCTCTCTTTTCCCCACGTGTGCTCTTCATTCCTCTGCTTTCTCCCTCCATGTTTTGACTCCAGTGCTCTCCTCTTCATGGCACTGATCCATCCTGCTGCACTTAACTGTGTCCTCTCTGTCTTCGAGTGAAGGAAATTCTTTAACCATTGCTTATTCTTCTTTCGGTCACATTTCCTTTTTGTCTCTGTGTGTTTCTCACTTTTCCAATTCCTTCCAGGCTAATCTTTTATCATATTGTCTCTTTTTATATATATATAATATAATTTTCTCAATTGTTCATTTCCCCATTTTCTCCTATTCATATTTTTTACCTCCGTCACTCTCACTCTGCCTCTTTCCTTTAAACGCCATCATTGTTTCAGTGAGTCTTCCACCTGTAATAATGGCAGGGACAAGTGGCTGAAGAAGGTGGTTCTTGTGAAGTTGACTTTGACTTGGTGTAATTTGCACTAAGTAAACTGAAAGTGGGCTCCGCCGTGCTTCCTCCAGTGTGATGAGGTCATCACTTGGGATTTACGTGATCCCACCACTGATGCCGTGAACTTCAGCAGATTTATGAAAAACCACGCAAATATTTGGATAGAAAACAAACACCTTTTTAGCTCTGCTCTGCTCCCCTTGATCCGGTCATGATGTAGTTGTCACCTCACCTTAACATATTTAGAGTTAATTAAATTTCCACAAATGCAATAGCACACAGTCTCAGTTATTGTTAGCTTTATTAGGCCATTTTGTCAGGTTAGGACCTCGGTTTTACCCCGAATAGATCTGCCAATCTTCCCTTTATTCCACTTCAGTTCCAGTGATGTCCTTAATTTCGAGTTCTAGAATATCTGGCCTTTTTCTTTCCTTTACTATTTCTCTTGCTATCTTCCTACTGTTGAGTCATACTAATTTAAAATGCTCAGAGTTACGGGTAAAGGAAACATAGTTTGTGATGTCCATGTTAGTATCACAAAGCTATTTACTTTTAACTGGGGTGAAATACAAAGGCAATGTAGTCTGAAAATATTAAACATATGAGTTGACTTTAAACCTATACAAATTTTAAGGTAAAAAGAATAAAAAATGGTTTCATGGACACAAACTCGAACTCAAACCTTTTGATTTGCTTAAAAAAATTATTTGAATGAATCATTTAGTTATTTTCTCAGAAAGACAGAAAGCAGATTTTTTAAAACAACATAAATAATATTGTGTATAAACAATTGAAATAAGTGATTTTAGGCACAACTGAAAACTGGTAACTCATTTGTATTTTACTCTTCTTTTGTCAAATTTCTTACTTACTTGTCCCCCATTGCACATTTTTCACTGCTCATACTCCCTCTCTATCCCCCATTACTTGCCCTTACCCTGCAAGCTGAGGAGGGAGGGACAGGGTAAGAAACCACAGGACCACCTGAGGAGCAGTGCGATTAGATAAATATTCAAGATTAATTTTCGCCCCTTCACACACAGAAACCAGGCCCACACATATGTTCCATGGCTGCTGTGATGCAAGGTCATACTTGTCGTTTTGGTGATTTATGGTACAGTTCTGTGTGTGTGTGTGTGTGCCTGCCAACATCAACAGAGTGGTCGTCTCTTGGTTAGCGAGAAGTGCCCACCACGTTCTCTTTCCATGGTTACCGCGGTTACTGTGCGTCAGTTCGCTGCCTTTCAGACACGGCTGCGAACTGGTTGAAAGGCCTTGCTCTTCTTCATCATTTTTCTGATTTTTCCTTTTTCTTCCTTCCTTTAGGTCTTTGCTCTTTTCCCCACGTCTGCTTTTCATTCCTCTGCTTTCTCCCTCCATGTTTTGACTCCAGTGCTCTCCTCTTCATGGCACTGATCCATCCTGCTGCAGTTAACCGTGTCCTCTCTGTCTTTGAGTGAAGGAGATTCTTTAACCATTGCTTATTTTTCTTTCGGTCACATTTCCTTTTTGTCTCTTAGTCAGTTTCCTGTTGTTTCCTACTTGCTCTTCATCCTTCCGTCTTCTATATTTCTCTACCTGACACTCCCCACAATATCTATCCTGGTTATCACTGTGTGCTTTTCACTTTCTTTTCATCTCTTTCTTACTTGTTTCTTTTTTTGTTGTTGCTTTCTTAACATAAACTCCAAATTGTGTTTTCAGAGGACAAACATGAATCCAAACGTCACCTCGGCCCACTCAAGGAACAATTGTCTCTTCACATCTTAAGGAAAATGGGCCTGGCTCCTGAACATGTGGAAACCAGGCGGCTGTACAGCCCACTGCAACCTGACATAGAGCAGGTAACTCACACTTAAACTAAGTATAATTATAAATGCAAAAAAGGTTTGTAGCTCGTTTGCATTTGCGCCTCTGATTGGTTGTTGGTGCTTTTGGTTAGGGATCTCTGATGATGTGGGTGGACCTCTTCCCCAAATCTTTGGGACCACCTGGACCCCCTTTCAACATTACACCACGAAAGGCCAAGAAGTAGGAATATGGGCTTACAATCAGTCGATGACTTTAATATTCTGTCCATCGGCTAATAAAGCAAATCACTGTCTTAATTTAGTCATTCAACAACAAAGACATCCTTCTGTGGTTTTACAGCCGTCACTACCTGAAGTAAGAGGGTCTATTTTTGTTCAGGTTCTTCCTGCGCTGCATCATCTGGAACACCAGTGATGTCATCCTGGATGATGTCAGCTTGAGCGGGGAGAGGATGAGCGACATCTATGTTAAAGGGTAAGAGGAGGAAATTGCTTCATTTCACGGCTGCTCTCCCTTATTGTGCTTTGCTCCATTTGAGATGGTCAAAGGTGAAAAAAAGACACAGACAAACTAATAGGAGCTGCTTGTGTCCCACAGTTGGCTGGAGGGGCACGATCACAACAAGCAGAAAACCGACGTCCACTACCGCTCTCTGGGTGGCGAGGGAAACTTCAATTACAGATTCCTGTTTCCCTTCCACTATTTGCCTGCTGAGCAGCTGTGTGTTGTCGACAGGAAGGTAAAAAACATGTCACAAACTTATGAAAAGTGCTTAATACTTTTGCAACTACAATAATGTGACACTGAGAAGTTAAGAGAAGAGGACGGCACAAAGGAAAACAGGGCCAATGTGCTTGTTAACAAAAGAACCTCAGAGGTAATGGCTTTAAACTTTTAGAAGTGGTGGATCCAAGAGTTCAGCGTTACAGCAAATGCAAGGGCCGAGTCAGATCCTGAGGTGCAGACTGGAGAAATGTCTGAGGAGAGGTCCTCCCTGCAGCTCCCCAGCCGAAATGCTAATCTATTGTGGCCAACAATTAACAAAAATAATGATGTGACACTTTCACAAGAAGGATGCATGCTGCTGAATCTTTGAGACTCAACAAAAACACGAATCGAGGGGCTAAAATAACATCACTCTGAAAAGTGGAATAACAGCTCGGCTGTCATTTGCTTTTTTTGGCCCTTGGCCGGGCCTCTTTAGCCACTCGCAGCATCATGTTTTACGATGGCATCTGCTTGCTCGCACCAGCATCTTCAATCAGTGAGCAGCTGAAAAGACAAGAGGGAGTTTTAAATTAAAAAGAAAAAAAATCTGTGCTGGGTGGAGAGCTTAAAAAAGGAACAGGAGCCAGAAATTAGGTTTATGAAGCCAGAAGCCTCAGCAGCAGAGTCACAAGAACTGAACTGCCCTGCGCTGTCGTACCGAGTGACAGCACCATTAGGTCATGAGGGACGACTGAAAGAAGACGAAGAGAATGTAATCCTAAAGTCAGAATTTATAGCCTTAGATGTTACTAAACACAACATGATTGTTTAAGTCATTTTCTAAATCAATGATTTGGTGAAATTCAGGCAAACAAAACTTTTGAAGTTAGTTTAAAAAATAAAATCCAGAAAGCTTCTATTAGCTCAATCTATTTTGTATTCTTTTGCGTTTTCACTTGGAAAAGAAATGTACGTGTTGATCATCAACTTGTAAAAAGTGTTTGAAAATGCTAATGCATTTTTATTATGTTGTCATATGATTATGGCGCCTGTAGATCAATAATTTCTGTTGACGTTTAGTAAAACGTTTTTTGTGTAGGAAAAACATGAAAAATGAGAAAGGTTGCTCATGTACAGCTGCGGTTTTGGCCTCAGGTTGATCATAATAGCAAAGCCATATTTTTGTTGTCCAACATATATATATTTATAATATATATCTTTTGTTCTTGAAAGTCATCAAGTCCAACAGAACACCTTTGTTGGATTCAGAATGTGTTATTCAGCTTTGGCATCGGTTTGACATAATTTGAACGCAACTGGAGCTGATTTGTTTTGAGGGAGATAGAAAGATGAATTCAGGAAATTAAAGGAAAGACCGAACAAGTTTCTGCACTCAGCACTTTGGCAACAAAGAGGAGGCTGATTGATGCTGTTAGATATTACAGAAAGCAGTTACACATGCGCACTCAAACCAACACTCATGTTCCCCGTCCCAACCTGGCCTGTGACAGCAGTAGACTGATAGCTTGATGTACTTGGACGGAGGCTGTGCATGAGACGAGCCAAATGCTGGAACACACACCCTGACAAGCAGACAGGCATTAGCAACCATGCACAGCCATACGAATACGAGGGTGTTGCATGTTTACCCTGCTGTTTGTGTGCGTTGTCATGATGTGTGAGGGCACGCTGTGGATTTAGACTCTGACTTAGGGAGCTGGTGTTACTTCATTACGTCGATTGCAGATACGATTCTGTCATTTAAACAGATGGATGCAAACCAAATCTCTTTTTTTTGCATTAAAGAAAAGAAAACATATTGTGATGGAAAAACTCCTCTGTGTGCTCATTCTAAAGCGAACCTTGTCTGCTTTTCCGATACAGTTGATAAAACTTGATGAAACAATCAAAGCAGATGGGTGTTTATTCAAACTTTGAGGAAGATAATACAGATTTGGGACTTATACCCAGGAGAGGGTTCCATGTGGTAGAATAGGTATACAAATCAGCAAAGGAGAATTCCCAGAGCTGAAAAGCAGAGGGTTGAAGCATTATCATATCAGAGGGCCAGGTTGGAGGCTGACAGAACAGGAGCCGAACAGGCCGGCTGATAGAATTCCAAGAAGAAAACCCTCGGTCCAGTATCAGCAGAGTGGAGTGATACAAGATATACAGTTAGGAAAAACTTAGTTGGATGCAGGCTTTGGGAAGTCATTTGAAGATGTAGTCTTTGGCAGGATGAGTGCAGGATCTGGAAGGGTGGGTAGGACAGACGTCAATTTACTCCAGTGGGAACATAAGAGACAGGCAGGAGATGCCAAATGGACTGACTAAGAAACTAACTCTGTGGTGGTCTCAACAGACCTTGGGCAGTAAATGGAGCTTGGAGATGTGGAGGGCACCTTTGGGTACAGGATGTCAGGCTTTATAGACCCTGCAAGGACAAGAGGATCTCAAGGAAGGACCTCCATTATGACAGAAGAAGCCCTGTGGCACTAACAGTACATGGGGTGGATGTGAAGAGGTTTCAAACATCCTGTTAGAGCAATAATCTGTCATCCTTTTAATACCAGGAGAGGAAATAATAATCTCCAGCTCACTATTTAGCCTGTAATAGATTTGGATGGTGCTGAATATTTGTGAAGCTGGTGTGGACGCAACGGAGACCCCATCAGTTCATCTGTGGGCAGGAGAGTCCATTCTGGCCCACAAAAAGAACCTCATGGGCGCTGAAAAGAAAGGGTCAAAAGTATAAACCCCAAAGATTTATGTCAGATTATGACTGAGTTGGGTCCATTATTTCTCAGTTCTTAATGGGCCCAGGATGCAGAATTAAAAGCAACTCATCTTGATTCTTGAGGGATCTGATTGAAATATCTTAAAAATCTCTAATACAGAGTTAGTAGGATAAACTGGATTTAATCTCTATTTATCAGTGTCTCTTCACTTCCATTTCATTGAGTGTCCAATTATCCTATTCACATTCACCTCGTCTTTCCTCTCTGCCATAACTCATTCGTGACTTCAAAATGTCAAAAGGAGAGATATAAATTATTTTTATTTTTATGTTTTGGAATCTGTGATTGCCAAATATATTTAGGAGCAGTGCGGTACTGACATTTGCTGCAAATCACAGTAGTTCTGTTTAAAATCATGTGTGAAAAGCCATATTTTCTATCAACGTAACAACAGCCAAAGAGTCTTGGGCAGATAAAAAATAAAAGGACAACTGAGGGAATGGAAAGAGAGAGAGAGGGGAAACTTTGTGTGCAGCAGCTGGGAGAGCGAAGCCCATTAGCACAAAGGTGAGACGGGATCGGATTCTGTCTGGCAGTTTAGTGTGACTTTACCAGAGGTGATAATAGGTGTAATACACTCACAGACACTGATATGCCCAGATGTGTGCGTTCAGACAGAGGGTGTGCAGATCCAGTGTGGAAGTGGCAACGCTGTGAGAGATGTGTCGATGCTGTGCTGCTCGAGTCTGAGCGGAGCGTCATCTTTCAACACGCTTTGACTGAAAGAAGGGAGAGGAGCTCATGATGGCTGCGCCAGCTGCACACAGATCTCCCATGAGCTCAGAACTAAAGTGTCACTTTTAATCTGTGCAGGTGTTTCCTGCATACTCACAGAAGCAGGGTTTCTCTTCTGACCTTTTAAAACAATTCTCACATTGTAGATGTCAATATGAGAAGATGAATGGCAAAGGAAAAGAAACTAGGATAGTGTTGGGGAATTTTTGCCAGTTTCTTAAAAGATTTGATAAACATTTGGGGCACAAAAACACTTAAGAATTGCAGCTGATCTGGCAAAGATTTTATGCATGTGACTCATCAATTGTCTCCAGTCTTTTTCTGCTGAAGAAAACCACAAAAGATATCCCCAAATCATATCCCAGATGTGACTACAATCCTTGAGGAAGGACTCTTTCCACCCTCTGTAAAGAAAGTTTACATTAGCATTAATGAAAGAAATTCAACCAGAAATAGGAATGGCTGCTTAAAAATGTCAAATATGCTATATTTTTCCCTCCTTTCTTTGCACCTACAGGAACACTTTTGGAGCCTGGATAAAGCTGAGACAAAGCTGGCACCTAAACTTACCATCCAAATCTGGGACAATGACAAGTTCTCCTTTGACGACTACCTCGGTAACACCCATCCCTTACACTGTGTGTCTGTGTGTGTGTGCATGTGTGCGTGCTGTTCCACCATCAGTCACTGTGTTACGATATTAACCAGTTTACTTTTAGATAGTTTCCACGTGTCTGAATCCTTAACTGAAAAGACAGGGGTTCGTTTTTCCAGGATTTGATTTTTCTCTTAATGTTAATGTACATTTAAAAGAGTCATTGGCTTTTGGACAAAATGAAGATTATTTTTCCTCTTTTTTTGGTACCAGTTGTGATGTAAAATAACAAGGTGTTTCATTTTTAACAGACTTTTTATTGTATTCAAAGTATGTAAATGGATGCATAACCTGTAGGGCTCAGCTTATTTAAGAATGATATAATTGTGCCTTTTGGTGGTCGGGAGACATTTAAATCATTTCGGCTGTGACATTTAGACTGATTTATTCTCCTATCTGGCCAAAGGTTAGGGGGTAGATCTATCTCAGAAACCATAAGTGTGATGTAAGAACAACTACTGTGATAACATTTATCTTTAGAATTAACGCTCTTTCATTTCCACTGTGTCTGCACATTTTGCAGAGAGGAGGGGCTGATTTTATTTTGTCTTTCCGAAACTCAAGCTGTCAAAATGTTGCCTCTCCTTCACCCCTGACTCTGCCCCAACCCTGACTCTTGAAATAACTCACTGCCCTGCCTCTCCTCCTTCGCTCCCCCTGCCTTGGTTCAGTTTCGCTCTTTGCCTGTGATGGGAGGATGACGGTCTGTGGACTGAGCGTCCCTCTGCGGCGCGAGGCGAGGAGGAAGATGAGGAATCCAGATTCTGACCTGTTCCTGTCTGTCACCGTCTCGCTTGGCTGCAGAGTTTTCTCTTGCTGGCGTTTACTCGCCTCATACAGGCTATGGGTGTGTGGCCACCTCAAAGCATTTTTTTTCCATGACTGCCTGTCTTCAGCTCGTCGGCTCGGACCGCTGACTGTTAATCATCCTGCACAGTGTGAGGGTCAGACACGAGCCATTTTCCTATGGTCAAACAGTCGAAATACAGCAAATTCTGGAAAATCACTTCCAGCGGCTATCTAGTCTTTCTTCAGTCCTCCTTTACGGATCAGAACTTTTATGAAAACTTTTCTTACAAACTTATGGAACTCATTATTTGCTGTGCAGATAAACTGGTTAAGCAGCAAATCAGTCTTGGGCTCCATTTCCCCCCAAAATATCTCTCTTTGCAAATCTATTTTCTCGGTGCCTAAAAAAAAAATGCTATTAAGTCCTTGCCGGCTACAGGTTTAGCAAATGAGCAATTTGAGGAGCTCATAAGCCTGGTTTCTGTAAAATTGGACGGCAAACCTGTTGAAAAAAAAGAAGTGCGAAGTGCACGTTTCCGTTCATTGGTTTGAAAAGGAATACTCCAATTCTTGTCTGCCTCTTGTCACTGTCTCCTTTGTCTGCTTCCTGTCTACTTTTGCCGCTAAGGAAATAATGTAAGCGTTTCTGCATTTGCATTGAACATATATGGAGTCAAAATGTTTCCTTTCTCCCACCAGTTCAGGAAAGGCCTCAAAAAGGTACTTTGGCTGCATTTGACTGATTCATTTGAGTGGAAATCAAGGGATTGTTTACAAGCGGTGGATTTGGAGGGGCATGTTTTACCTCTGCTGAACACATTTAAATGTGTCATTAGGCCACCTGGTCATGGACCTGAACCACATGCTGCGTCCCGCCAAGTCTCCAGAGAAATGTACCCTACAGCTGCTCGACCAGCCGCTGGACAAACTGGTGTCTCTGTTTGAGCAGAAGACGGTGAAAGGATGGTGGCCCTGCAGCTGTGAGCAAAACGGAGAAAGGATCATCGCTGTAAGGATGCAAACGCATACAGGCTGATCTGGGAAGGCGCAAATATGACAGTCACTGTTCATCGTTCAAAACTTCATTCCTCCATTGTTGGCTCTTTTTCAGGGGAAGGTGGAAATGTCTCTGGAGATTGTGACGGAGCACGAGCAAGAGGAGAGACCGGCTGGCCCCGGCAGAGACGAGCCCAACATGAACCCTCACCTGGAGGAGCCTCAGTAAGCCTCGGCCGGACCCTAACGCACACAGGCACCTGTACAGTCACACACTTACCCCCGTCACCTGTCCCGCTCCCACCAGGCGTCCCGAGACATCCTTCCTGTGGTTCTCATCTCCCTATAAGACCCTCAGGTTCATCCTGTGGAGGCGATTCAAGTGGTTTATCATCCTCTTCATCATCCTTTTCCTCCTCCTCCTCTTCTTTGGTGTCTTCCTCTACTCCTTCCCGGCAAGTTTAAAACACATTTTGAATACAGTTCTTCTCTAATTTGACATCACTGTTTGAGTTTTAGCATAAGAAGGTACTGTAAATGAATCCATCATTATGTGTGTGTGTTTTCTGCTTTTCTTTCTTCAGAACTATGCTGCCATGAAGATGGTTGGACCATTTGGCCAAGGAAAGACCACAGAATGAAAAAACAGGGCAAGAATATTGGGACAAAAGTAAAATTAGTTAAATACTGGCCGTAGTTATCTTTCTCCACTTCAAACTTGGATGGATTTGAGCACTATAAGTTGTAGACATTGTTTTGCACAGAGAGGTTTTATCAGCAACAGCTGTGTGTGTTTGTGTGTCCATTTGTGCCTTTGCTGTCAGAGTCACCCATTCGACCGCTCTGCACGACTGTTAGGAAAGTATTAACAAAGGCACTCTCAGATCTGGGCGTGTGACGTCTGTGTTCTCATCATGCTACCGTCACCACTTTCATCTCCTTCATGCTCATGTGGAGATAAAGGAGAATAAAAAAGACGAAAAAGCTCTGCTGAATGTCTGCAGCTTTTTAAAGAGCAGAAATTAAAAGATTCTGATGCTACTTGATCTTTTTACCACCCACTGTCTCCCAGCAAGATGCACAGTGGTCAGGCAGAGACTAAATGGATTCAAAATGTCAAACTTCATGGCTCCCAAAGTTCAATCTAAGGTGAAAACAGGATTATAAATTTAGCCATTTATTCTCTTCTATTCCCCATTTTATTTCATAGCTGTGCCTTGAAGTTTCATCCATTATTTTTAAAGATAGAAAATAATTTATTGATATAATATTTCTTACCACATGATGCCTTCATGTGCAGTTAGCTCTCTTTGGTTTTGGTCAAGTCTTCCCACCTATTACAGTTCCTCATTAGTCCTATCTTCCTTCTCTTTATATCTTCTTCATATAAAGTTCTCCCTCTTTCTTTCCCACTTGCTTTTATGCACTCTCTTCTCTATTTTCAGTTTCCTCTCATCTTCCTGTCATCTTTGTCTTTCTTCTTTTCCTCTCCGCCATCTTTTGTGTTTTTCCTCTCTTTCCCTGTTTCCTCAATAGTCCCCCTTCGCCCGTCTCGCAGCACTCTCAGGGTTCAGCGGGTTAAGTCAGGGATTTGCTCTTGTTGATCTCAGAGCTTGAGTTTTATTATTACAAAGCTGGTCTGAGATAGATGATGTAGGCAGATAAGGGGCACATAACAGTGTATATGTATGTCTGTCGGTGCGAGTCTTTGGCTGTAAAAACTGTTTCTGCTCCTTTAATTTGTAAAGAGAAAGTTTGAAAGTGTGAAACAAAAATGAGCCAGTCACGACTCAAGAAAGAGTTTGAATTAACTTAGGAGATCTTTTATTTAATACATCAAAACACTAAAGATTATCTATCTTATCTGCTAGCTGTGGTCTAATCTAATTTAGCTTTAGTCCAGATCCGAGAGAACAAAGGCCATTTTCTTTGGTTCATTCAGCCGATTAAAAGGGAAATCTCAAAGGAAAACTCCAGCTCCTCAAACCTCAGAATACTTCACATAAAACTTGACTGAAATTTAAGAGACAAGTTGCATTACTGGAAGGACTATTCTGCTCTGTATTGACTTCCGGACATGAGGAGCCATCCTTTGCAGATTTAGTCGTTTTTGGCTGAGTTTAGTTTACCTCGTTGCAGATGTTTTTTGCTGACTGTGGTTTAGTGTCATCAAAACATTTACTGAACACACCAGTAACCAAGTATGCTCTCAGCTCTAAAAGTGGTAAATAATAATGGTGTTTAGGTGGATGTATAGAAACGGAGAAAGGACATTTGATGATTGAAATAAATAACATAAAAATGCCATCATCACCGACACATTTTTTCTTTAATCAGAATGTTTGTCTTGATTTTTTTATATATTTGCAAAAGTCTCAAATACACTGCTGTTATAAACAAGCTTTACTCAGACAATCCTGCTGTCAGATGGGTTTACAGTGACTGAAGTCTCAAGTAGCCTTTAAAGCAAACTCAGCTCTGTTTTTGCCCGGTCTGCCTCCTGGCAGTGAATGCGACGTGCCTTTAGCTATTAGCTTTATAGCTTTCCGTGTGGAAGTGCTTTCTCAACGCCTCAACGTGAAACAGACCTAATAGGGAATGTTTATAGGAACCTTTAGAAGTGTTGTTTCTTCTTTAGTTTTCAGTCTTATAGGAACTTTATCACAGCCAACCTGGAAGCCGTCTTTGCATGAACAGCCATGATACAAATTCATTGGGTGACGCCGGAGAAGATTTGCTGTTTGTTGGAATAAGGCTGAATATGTCCTGCACATGACATGTATATGACATCATATCCGCATAAAGCAATATTGTGTGCACTTTGTCGTGTCAGCATTATCAATAAAACTGCTTTTCTGGTCAGACTGTGTATTTTTTTCATATTTTTCCATTTTTTATTTTCACGCCTATGCATGTCACTGTATACATCAACAAAGTCTTGTGGCAAAAAAGGGGCAAAAAGCACAGTGGTGTTAGGCCTGTCTCATTGGCATTGGCACGTAGGCCGCCTTTGTGAGGACCCATAAGGAGGACCCAGGTGCTGGTAAGTTTCTTTTACAAGAATCATCTACGGTACGTATAAATGTAAAAGGACATTTGTTATGTTCTCCTTTTCTCAACTTATATTCTCCAACCAAGTTTAAGTTAAAAACTAAAGGAGGTGATTCATTTGAGCTACAAAAGCTACAAAACATATTACAAAAAAGGTAGAAAAAACACTAAATCAATCATATTTACCATTCTGAGAATTGATACAAAATATTATCTATGTTATGGCCTACACATGAATACACAATACGCAGACTAATTAAAGAGTCTTATGCATCACATCCTGAGTGCAGTCTGTTGGTCGAGTCTGGTGCGTTTCTTCTGCCTTTTCAGTTTTTATGGTTTATATGTTTGTTTTATAAAAACAAATATGTTTATATGTTTGTAGTTTATAGTACAATTCCTGTTACTTACACATTCTGCAGGTCAGAAAGGCAAATTTCTCCTGATGCGTAATATATAATCCCAAATAAATGAGGGATGGAGTGGACCAATGGCCAATTTGTTAAAGTATATATATTGCTTCCTGATATGTTTTTGGAAATAGGAGGTTAATTTCTTTTTAAAGAACTACTGTACATTATTTGCAATTCACAAGAGATTTTTTATGTCAAATTTCTAAATACTGTGGCTACTGGATGTGGCTCAGCTAAATTATGTTATTTAGAGGTGGATTATTTCCTCAAGGTTGCTGTGGATCATTTTATTTGGCATGGTAATTAGTAATTTTGGTGAAGTTTCCATTAAGCTGCATATCAAGATGTAAAGAGCTGTGTAAAGCCCACGTAGACCACATTTTAATCGATTCCATTAAGAACGTCCCTGCCAACAATTATGATGTTTTCCTGCTAAAAGCCATCAAGTAGCTGGAAGGCAAACTTGTGTGTCTGTGAGAGATGTTGATGAGTATGCATGCAAAGTGTGTGTAGTTCACTGACCTCCATACGAACCTGCAGCGTCGGCAGAAGTCGGACTGCAAAGTCTTTTTGACCAATTCCTCCTCTAAGCTCCCACAAGCCTAAATTATTACTTTGCTCTCCCACCTCTTTTCTCCATCCTACATTTCTCCTTTCTTTTTTCCTCTCGCTGTCCATCTTAAGTTCTGTCTTTTACTTTCTTTCTCAGGGGTGTTGTTATGGTCAGCATGAACTGCAGGTGAACCTCTGACCGCAGCATGGGTGTGCAGTGTGGGTGGGCTGTCTTCACTCCTCCGTCTCTCTCATTCTCTTTGACCTTCTCTGTCTTTCTCCTCTTCCTCTTCACCCCTTGGTGACCTCCCTCCTTGTCCTCCTCTCTCAGTTTTTAACTCCTGGCTTACTTCTGTTCCTCATCGGTTCCTTTGTCGCTCAGATCTGGATTTGACTGTGGCCACATTGCGTCTGAAAAGTCCCCTCTCTGAGGATTTCTTCTCTGACTATGACCAGATTGTAATCGGAGGAAATTCACTGAAAATCTGAACTAAAATTGCAATGAAAGTTTACCAGAGATAGAACACTAAACTGTTGTTGAGTCTTGATTTCTGATTGCTGACTGTTCCAAAGCTTTTGACCATATTACAGTGCTCTCAAATGCTGCAATCCTTCTGTTGGGCTTTTGCACTAATTTGTCAGAGCAAGACATCATATGGAATCAATCCATCCATCTATTTGTAACCACTTATTCTCTAATGGGGTCGCGGGGGGGACCAGAACCTAACCTAGGAGTCAAAGGTTGGTGTGCCAGTCCATCGCAGGGCCGTCATATGGAATCTTAAACCAAAAATCTATTCATTGGTTTCTTATTTTATTTGATTCAGATGATTTATGACAGAACAATTACCATAATTTTTCTGTATTCCTTACGTGTGTGCGCTGTTCTTCTACATCTCCTCCCCTTCGAGTTTCATCCACTGTAGAATTCCAGTGGTGAATCAGTTGCTGTAATGGATCTAACCAGAAAAAGCAGATTTTGTAGATCATTACCAGGCAGTAGAGGCAAGTTGTGTTCACAAAGCATCAATGTCAAATGGTTAAGAATAAAAACTGTCATTTAGAGCAGTGATCCTGGCCAAGCGATGAATGTTAGACCAGTACTCTTTTAACTCTAATCTAATTTCTAGCAGCACCTGTTTTTTTCTTTTTTACTTTTTTTTATAAAAGAACATTTGCATGTATTTTTTTGCAGGGTGCTGCGTTCATTTAATGCCAAGTTGTGACTGTCTGTGGATTAAAAAAAAATTCTATTTGCCTAGTTTCTTGGACTAATGTTCTTGGCAGATCTTCCAGTTTTTCTTTTTGAGTGTTTTTTGTTTTTGGTTAGCTTTTGTATTTGCTTGAATGTTTTTTTTAAATTCTTTAATATATATTTTTCTTGTTGTAATTGCTTTCTTTTTTGTTTTTGGTTTTATTGCCTCTTTGCTAGATGTCCTGAAACCCTCACTCTGTTGCTCCCTTTTATTCACCTGCGT